GGCAAGTAGTAGCTTCCATATACCAATTGCTTTGATTGGTTAGGATTGGGGGTTTGATGGGATTGTTTTAGAGTGATATTATGTGATGAGAGGAAAGAAAAGAAGAGATTGAAAGCAATGAAAGAGTGAAAAGAAACCCAAAAGAAAAAGAAAAAGAAAGAAAAATGGGTGAATGAAAAAAAAAAGAGAAACTTAGGAAGCATGAGATAGAAAGTAAAAGTTCTAGAATAAAAAAAATGATGATAAGATCCTCTAAAAAAAAAAGAGAGAGAATAAAGAGGATAAAAGAAAAGATAGCAATGTAATAAGAAAGAGCTTCCTAAGTAGCAAAATAGTGAAAAAAGTGAGTTTGAGGGTGAGAGAAGTGTTTTGGGTTTGATATTTATGGTTTGGGATTGTAGATATATAACTAGCGAAGGGTAGAACATGGAAGTGAATACTTGTATGCATGAATTGTTCTTCTTCTTCTTACTTTTGCAATTAGCTTATGCAACCCTTTTTCATGAGTGAAAACCATAAGGAAATAGAATGAACTCCACTTTGAAAATCATCTTAGCCTCTTTGACACCTAGCCCATTGGTTTGTGATTTAAGTTGATTGAGAGAGTTCTTGCATTTATTTCTTGATTGGATTTGAGATCACCTTTGTTTATATTTTTAGGATCTTAGCTTGTTACAATCATCCACCTCTCTTATTTGCTTAGATTAGGAAAGTTTGTGTATTCTTAGTGTTTAGATCACTAGTTCCATGTGGTTCGACAATCTTAAATACTACATTGATTTGCTCTGAGGATTAAAAACCCTTATCAATAGCTCGTCCTTTGACCACTCTTACTAAAAAGGATGCTTTCAAGTGGACTCCAGAAGCACAAATGGCTCTTGATCAGTTGAAGAAAGCTTTGTGTACAGCTCCAGTACTTGCTCTGCCTCAGTTTGATAAACCTTTCATTGTGGAAACAGATGCTTGCAGTCAAGGTATTGGTGCTTTCTTAATGCAGGAAGGTCATCCCTTAGCATTTATTAGTCGACACTTGAAAGGGAAACAATTGAGTCTCTCTATTTATGAGAAGGAATTATTGGATGTGGTTTATGCGGTTCAGAAGTGGAGGCATTACTTGTTAACCAACAAGTTTGTGATTAAAACAGACCAGAGGAGTTTGAAGTATCTCTTGGAGCAAATGCTTAATACACCTGTTCAACAGCAGTGGTTACCAAAGCTCTTGGAGTTTGATTATGAGATCCAATACAAGCAAGGGAAAGATAATGTTGTGGCTGATTCATTATCAAGTGTAGATGGAGCTGAGATTTTGCATATGGCAATGACTGTATTGGAGTGTGATCTTTTGAAAAGGATCAAGGAGGAGTACAAGAGGGATGTTTCTTTGAAAACCATTATTGAACAATTGAAGAAGAATTCACAAAGTAAGAGGTATTACTCTTGGTATCAGGATGTATTGAGGAGGAAGAATAAGATTGTGGTGCCTGCAGAATTTGGTCTCAGGAAAATGATTCTCGAATGGTTACATGGATCTAGTCACACGGGTCATTCTGGCAGAGATGTTACGGTACAAAGAGTGAAGAGTTTGTTCCATTGGAAGGGTCTGCCTAAGGATGTTCAAGCTTTTCTCAGAGCATGTATAGTTTGCCAACAATGTAAATATGAGACTGTGTTCTCCGGGTTTGTTACAACCTTTACCAATACCGGAAGGAGTTTGGATGGATCTCTCTATGGAATTTATTGATGGATTACCTTCCTCTCACGGCAAGACAGTGATCTTTGTGGTAGTGGATCGGTTGAGTAAAGCTGCTCATTTCATTGCGTTGTCCCATCCTTACACTGCAGCTTCAGTAGCACATGCTTTTCTCGATAATGTTTTCAAACTTCATGGAATGCCTCGCTCTATAGTCAGTGACAGGGATAAGGTGTTTGTCAGTGAATTCTGGAGGGAGTTGTTTACACTGCAAGGTTGTGATTTGAACCTATCTACTGCTTATCCTCAGAGTGATGGACAAACAGAGGTGGTAAACAGATGCTTAGAAACGTATTTGCGTTGTATGACAAGTGATAGACCAACCTTGTGGAGCCGTTGGTTACCGCTTGCAGAATACTGGTATAATACAACTTACCATTCTGCAACACAAGCTACACCCTATGAGATTGTCTATGGCGAACCTCCACCGGTACATTTACCATATTTACCGGGAGAGTCAAAGGTTCAAGTGGTGGCTAAGAGTTTACAGGAGAGGGAATATATGTTGCTGATCTTGAAGTTCCATTTGCTAAGAGCTCAACACATGATGAAACAGGTTGCGGATAGCCATATAAGTGAGAGGACTTTTGAGTTGGGTGATTGGGTGTTTGTTAAGCTGCAACCGTATCGCCAACAATCAATGGTTCAACGTTCTTGTCACAAGTGATAGACCATAGATTTTACCCATTTTTAGCCATGGTCTATTGGTGTTTTTATGTATATTTACCACAATATAGAGTCTATTTAGAGTATTTACATGTTCAGGTATGTTCTGGAGAAATATGGTGATTTTGGTGTCTTTTGGAGCCTTTAAGTGCAGAGCTACGCAGACTGTATTGGAGCTGATTTGGATGGAGACCTTCCCATGGTGCGATTTAGCTCATCTTTGGACTCAACATAGATATTTTAGTTAGCTTTCCAATACCACCGGTTTGGGGTCAATCCAACGGTTAGATAAGAAGTTATTCTCGTTTTACTGAAGAGTGGTCAGTCTGCCTCGTGAGAGAAGGCTATCGAGAAGAGGAATGTATATCGATCAATGGGAAAGCCTTCATATCGATCGATATGGATGCCAGAATGCGGGCCGAGTATATTTCATGACCGACTGAAGCCCAGAAGATACCACAAAGTTACCAAGATACCCTTGACGACCAGAAACCCTATTTGTGTTATTTGCAAGCCATTGTTGACGGCTACGCTTTCTATACACTTTTCTTTACTTCATAATTATTGTTAGAGAGTTGGAGAGAAGATAAAATCTTCTTCAGAGATTGATTGGAACTCCATTGGAATTATCTTTAATTTCTTATTCAATTATTATTCAGACTATGATTTGTGTTTCTTCTATCATGTCTGAGTAGTTCATCTTGTTAGGTTTAGGGATTTCATGAGCTTAATGTCAAACTGAATGTCAATTAGGATTGCTAGAATATCTATAGATCTCTACATGGTGATTTGTAATACTAGGATCTGGAGTAATTAGGATATCATGAAAGTGTGACTGATTGCTCGAACCTAGAATCATAGGACAATTGAGATGCACTAAAGTGCAGTAATCCTGCTGGATTAGATACTTGGGCGCATATGAGAATTGGTCTAGGAATCTAGTTGAACATAATCGATTAGGTCATTAATGCTTGTCTGAGATAATATCGATCGACGCTCAGGCCATAGCATCGATCGATACTCATTTCTTGTTCGCATGCGAAAGCCGGAACAAGGACTTAGACATCTGATTAGTAATTGCATTGATAGATGGATTACTTACTTATTAAAATCGAGTTCTAGAATGAATCTATAAGCTATTAGCATCTTGAACTGCAGTTTAGAATCTCTTGATTGATAAATCCTTAGGTCTAGCTATTTCTCCTTATTGCTTACAAACTCAATCAATCGAACAACTACCTTGTTCACATTGCTTTTATTTACAGTTTTATAAATTGTTCACCTAGCTTAACTTTGATTTCTATAGTCTATTGTATTCCCCTGCTCTATGTGGATTCGATCCCTAAGTACTACAATTAAACCTCTTATTTGAGAGAGTAATTCACTCCTTAGTGTTAAAGATTTGAGTGATATCAACAAGCTTTCTCCAAAGTACTTTGGTCCTTACAAGATTGTTGATAAGATTGGAAGTGTGGCTTATCGTCTGCAATTACCTGCAACATCTCAGATTCGTCATGTGTTTCATGTATCTCAATTGAAACAATTGGTGGGAAACGTGGAGACCGCGAATCAGTTACCATCAGTTCTCTTGGATGTGTCTTCTCAAAGAACCTGAGTTTTGCTTGGCACGCAAGATGGTACAAAGGCAAGGTAAAGCAGCTACAATGGTGTTAGTGCAGTGGACAAATCAGTCTGCAGAGGAAGCTACTTGGGAGTACTTATTTGATATGCAGAAGAAGTACCCATCGTTTGAATTTTAAACCTTGTGGTCAAGGTTTTGTAAGGAGGGAAGATTTGTTACAGGGAAAATAAGTAGAGAGGAGGCGGGAATGACGTGGCATTAGGGGATTGGTGAAGAGAGGAAGTCGTTAAGCGGTTACTAACGACAAGTGGGAGCTAACGGCGAGAGGACACGTGTTTTAATGCTATTGGGCGTGTTCTTGAGCTGAAGAATATAAAAACGGAGTCGTAGAGTTGTTGGGATTCATTCTGAAATGTATTTTGGTGATTTTACTTCTTTACTCTTAGTGTTTTCTCTGTAATTCGATTGATTACTCATTTCTGGGAAGAATCTTTCTGTTTCACGATTCTTTGCATTTTGAGTACGATTTGGTATTTCTCGGGAACAACGAATCGAATATAACGATACATTAGTTTATTGTTATCATTGTATTTGATTCTGTCTTCTGGTAATAATTGTGAAAATATTAGGAGTTTTGGGTAGGGAATGAAGAGCTTGTTCGTTTGTACTAGAAGAGACTTGGAGACACTGGTTACCTCTGCTACAAACTTGCCCGTACCAACAATCGTGGTGATCGTAAAGCACACAATAACCTTTTTCCGTACCAACAATCCATGATGTCCCTGCAGAGTACTGATCATAAGACCATAATTAAGCCGGGGTTATTAAGGTGGGGATTCTTAACCGAAGTTAAGAAACTGTTTCTTAACTTCAGCTAGGAACCCCATCCTAAGAACCCCGGCTTAATCATGTGAAATTTCACTGACTCTCACTTGTTGGTGAGCAGCGTTTTTCTAACCCAAGACCTCACTCTTTAATAACCCAAACACACCAACAACTTATATGGGAGTTAGTGAGATCTCACATGTGAAAGGTTGGAATCGGTACAATGTAAGGCCAGTCTGGATCCGCGGGATGGATTTGTCACTTTCTCTCTGTAAACCTTCCGGCCTCTCTAAATGTGAACATGTTTCTTGGTGAATAGGTTTGCTTACGGCTGTTCATAAGGACTACTTTAGAGTTGTGAACTCTAGAGATTTGCTTTTCAATGATTGTGGTGACCGAGTCGCGCAGTTGCTACATGTAGAATTAGTTCCTCCTTACTCTCAGTACGATGCTCATCAGCAAGTTTTGATCGTTAACACTCATTTGATTTTTCCTCATGATTCTACACTCTCTATTGTAAGATTGCAGCAGGTATAATAATAATAATACTTCAAAAGTCTTGAATCTTTGTTGTTGTCGATGATCTACATCTTTCTGATCAAGATTTTTTTTGGTAGGTTTATAAGATTCTTCAGTATGTTGAATCTTATCAGCAAGAAGATAATCTCAGTCCAATGCCTATTATACTTTGCGGGTAACTACCAAGTCTGCATTTTTCTTCTTTTTACATTTTCATCATGTATTACATCTAAAGAATAAAAAAAAAACTGAAAATTCTGTATGCTTGGCTCTGTTTATGTCTTTGTGGCAGAGATTGGAACGGAAGCAAGAGAGGACACGTCTACAAGTTTCTCAGGTCACAGGGCTTTGTGTCGTCTTACGACACTGCTCATCGGTACACAGATTTAGAATCTCAAAAGGTCACTGTCTTTCTTCATTTGGAGAATACTTTTGGGTATGCTGTAGCTTTTTGGGATGTTTTTAAAATGGTGATCATGATTTTTGAAACACTTTTTGGTTTTACAGTGGGTAAGCCATAGGAATCACCGGGGTAACATATGCGCTGTCGATTTCATATGGCTTCTAAATCCAAATCGGTATAGAAAGCTTCTAAACACAAGTTGGAGTGAGGCTGTGTTTGGCATGTTCAGGGTGAGACACTCCTTTACCTTTTCTCTCATCACAATATTTCACGTCTTTTCATTTTACTGTCCAAAGTTATCACTATATCCCCTGACTTGTTGATACTGAAATATTTCTAACATTATGTCAAAGGAAAAGAAAGTCTTTTGCGTGGCTATTCTTGTCTAAATGATATCCGGGAACAGAGTTGTTTCCTAGATTCTCCATGTAACATCTGAGTATTTTTGATTTGAAGTATCTACTGAGAAGAGCTTCACTAACAGCTGAAGATGCTTTTGCCGTTCTTAAAACCGACAATGATGGTGATTACATTACATTCATGGGCTTCTGCGAGACTCTTCGACAGGTACATTGAATCTGTAACGCAATTCAAAAGTCTATAGGACCGCCTTATTCAGCTGAATGTTCACAGTTTTCTTCTATAACTTGCTTCTCTTCCACTGTACAGCTCAATCTTACGGGTCATTGCAATGGACTTACGACAAAAGAGATCAAGGATCTGTGGATTCAAGCTGACATTGATGGAAACGGTCTTGTAGATTACAAGGAGTTTCAGGTAATAAGACTATGTTTAAAAACTGTTCATAATAGATCACTCAAAAGCTATAATTCCCAATAGTAGTTTTGAGTTACGATAGCTGAATATGATCAATGGTTAACAGCTAGACTAAGAACATAGAGATTTTTTGATAATACCAATAGCATCTAAAACCCTTGCTCATGATCTTGAAACACACACACACACACATAGTACTCAATTGTTCATGTAACTGATTACAGCAAAGAATTTGGAATCAAACGTGGTCTGAACAGAGAGATACAGAGGACGGAGAAGCAAAAGGTAACCAAGAATAAACAGTTGGTTTCAGCGTCAAGAACGCAGTATTGTTTCCTCCTGAAGTGGAGAAAGGAGTGTTGCCAGAAAATTACTCTCTCTCAGATCACGCGAGACTAACCGTTGTATTCTCTCCCATAAAAATGCCTTGCTCCTAATTGGTTTCATGAAAAAAAAAAACACTCAACAAGAAACCTTTAGCTTCTTATATTGAAGAGACCGCTAAGTTTTTGTGTCCTTAGAGATCAGAATCAACACTTTGCTCGGTTTCCATTGGTCGGGAAGCTTAGAGAGTTGCACCGACATGAGCGCTCTCACCCTGAGGTTTCTGCGTCTTGGGGGAAGAAGAGAGAAAGGATAACACCCGAGTCTTGTACTTTTATACTATCATGTACAAAACATGTTAGCCAAATATAGAAAATTTCATGTAAAAAAAGAAATGTTGTAGTAGAGAGATTTTAGAAGCAGCTTTGGAACTCTATCTTCGTTGTTTTGTCCCTTTTTGTTTCTATTTATTTTATTTTCGAAAAGAACTTTTTGAAGAATACCAGAGTGGTGGGGCCCAGGTTTTTTTTAAAAGCTTCTCTTGAATCTCTTCTCTCTTCTTTCGCAAGAGTTAACTCATGTGCCAATTCGCGGGCCCCATGACATGTGGCGGCCCACGATTGGTTCCTTTTTTTTAATTTTTTTTTTTAAACTGACAAAAATAAAAAATAAAAAAAATAAAAAAAATCGTAAGAATCATTTTTTTAGTTCTAGGTGATGATGATGCTCTTACATAGAAATGAAACCAATAAAAGTTATTCACTACTCCATAGTTCATAGATAGATAAACAAATTATTTTGGGGGGCAGTAACCTTATATTAAAATGATCTCATATGTTCTTTTCTCTGTTGGTCCATTTTTTTTAAAACTAAGCTACTGTGGTGTGAATGATTCTCATTAATTTCCTATCTACCTTAATTTTAGAATTCCAATTCAATTTTGAAATTCTGATTTTCTTTTTCCATTTTAAAAGTCTTCAGAAGTTTGTTTCACTGTTTGATATGCATCCAAATATACAATTTATCTTTAATTATGAGTGTCAAAATAAGTATGTTCCTATGGTTGCAGATTTCACAGTTCCGAAATGCATATTGAGATACTTGCAAGGAAAGTTTCATAAGGATCTGACAATCACATCTAAGATATACTTCACACTGAGCTTATAGTGATAATGAGTTAGTGACTAGACCGGCCGGATGTGGAAAACAAGATCTGGTGACATTTTACATTCTTGGGCTTAAATCATATCTTTTGGTATATACGTCACGGTTCTGTACAGAAGCAGAGTACGTCGCACTTTACTCTGATAGGTTAATTTAAGACACTCGTCTAAGGGTGTTCCTCTACACTCAGTTCCAAAGCTCTACTGTGATAACACCTATGCGGAGCCGACCCTTGGCTTATAGTGATAGCCAAGGAAGCCGACCCTAAGCCGCAAGCCAAGGAAGCAGTGGCTTGCGGCTTTATTATTATAAAGAATTATTCGGCCACATTTTTAAAGTAGTCTCCTTTAGCGTTGTGGTAAAATTTCGAGGGAACAAACTTCCTTTGCACAACCTGGGTTCGAGTCTTCATAAGTGCAGCCTTTTTAAAAAAATTTGCTTCTTGTTATAAATTTCATAGGACCGGCACTACTGACCTATGCCAACTAGTTATCTACTACGGCCTGCTCTACATGATAGAAAGAATCACTTTACCATAGGTTTCCACAAATAATGCTTTGCATTTTATTTCTCTAATCTCTATGATAAGTAACTGGATGATAACTTCACCAAGTCTTTACCCAATTGTTTCCTTCAGAAAATTAAAAGTTGAATCACAGAACATATTTAGTGTGTTGGCTGAATGTGAATAAGACATTGGTCATATCAAGAAACCCAATCTTTCTCCAACTTATTTTAAAATCCAGTACCATTGAACGCAGTAGCTTCACTCAAGTCAAAGACAATTCCTACAGTGACAAGATCAAGTTTCACATGTTTCCTCAGTAACTTGGAGAATAACAATTTAGTGCTCCTGAAATCACTAATCTTTGAGTAACCTAGAGAACTCTCTTTCTTCCATTTCTTTAAAAACATACTCTCTCCGTTTTTAATATACGATGTTTTGACTTATTTCACAAAAATTAATAGTTTTACATTCTTTTGAAAGACACTTTAAAAGATATAATTTTAAAATCTTTCAGACAACTGTAAAAAAACAGTAAAATTTTATTGATTGAATAGTTTTAATAAAATTAATTTTAATCTTAAAACTTCAAAACATATTTTAAAATTTTAAAACATCTTATAATTTAAAACAAGAGAGTATGTAATCTAAACATTTTCGACTCAAAAAGACAGGCATGCCACTACGAATGCCATAACTCAAATCATCCAGCTTCGATAAATATGAGGTTATCAGTGTAAACATTAGCTAACTTCCTAACTAAACCCTAATCAAGACAAATCCCAAACCTTAAAGTCACTAACTATTCTTTTAGCATCTTGTCAATTGTCATACGTTTCCTCCATTTTTCCTAGTACCACGCAAAACTATGCAAAAGCACACCAATGTACATGGGGGTGAATCTAGACCCTTTTACTAATGCGTCCACTATTGATGATAAGAAGTGAAAATGCATTTGACAAAAATCGAACCAAGGCAAGTAAGGGTGCACATGCTTCTTTTTACACGCAAAATTATAAAGTTTAATGTAATTATGGATCCACGTGCCCCCATTACCTATAACATGGCTTCTCGGCAATGTACAAAAGTTCTAGAGTCATCTTTCTAGACATCAAGCTCTGATTCATTTACCCTATTCTCTTAACCTACCCTCGAGCACGTACATAGTCACCAACACAACCATCACAAACTCAAAACTTTCATGAAAAGTTCAAATTCTAGCAAATCAAAATTCGAGTATTTTTAAGTAATGTGCTCATATGGTAGGTGCGACTTGTCCAAGTGTAATAAAAACAATGCCATTTAATTTCGGTGATACAGACAAGAATATCAGCTAAGGTTTTTCGATAACGAAAAGGAGTAAAATAATAATATTAAGCAATACTATAATATATACACAACAAAACAGAAAATTGTGTGTTTTTAATATTTAAATTGACTATTCAGATTAAGAAAACATTGACAAGGGGGTTTGTGGAAAAAAAAGCAGCATCGAGCTTCTAGCTAGTCTATAAATCTATGCAAAGAAAAGTATTCTTTTGTTTTGTTTATAAAATTTAAGTTGTCCTTTTCCTAACCAGAAAGTTTGGATAATATAAAAATTGACTGTGTCACATGACTCACATGATATACAAAGCTCGTCGAAGAGTTTCAAGAAAGAAAATGCCATTAGGAGAAAAAGAAAGAGAGTGAGATTAGGTTTAAGGGCTTAATCTTACCTAAAGGCAATAAAGCAAAGACAAAAGTTATGACACATGTAATCCCTAACTAAAGGCGTTAAATGGTCTTAAAGAATAGTCTCCTTGCGCCACTCGCGAGGAATAAAAAAAGAAGCATAATACGACCATCGAACTCAACAACTTGCAGTTAGTTCCCTATCATCACAGGAAATTACGTTTAGCTTCAAGGAAGTTACAATTTCTAATTTAATCCAGTTTTATGTCAACTACGGCATCTCTATCCCAAGTGTGTTGATAAATCATGCTCACCTAACTACACCATCTTCACTAATTAGTCTATATACATAATAAGTGATTGACAAATACATATCTCCACAAACACTCACGTACAAGGTAAAGAAGTTGATTATGGTTCAAAAGAAAGTCCAATTGAGATTATTTTTTTTCTAGCTAAACAAAAGTTCTATACTTATTAGCTTATTGATTCCTGAAAATTTTAAACCGGATTTATCACTCTCTATAGCCTCTTCTATCACTTGGAAATCCATTTCCTTCTAAATCAAGTTTAACCACGTAGTTAGTTAATCCCTCCGACCACGTGACTGTCATTGGATCTGTCAATTTACTAACATTAAATCTTCGAATTGAAACTTTAATTAAGTTGGCTTAATTAATCAAGAAAGTCAACATCTTCTTTAGGGATTGAGAAAAATCTTCACCATATCTTCTATATAGAACATGCAACAATAATAAGTTCTCCATTATTGATTTTTTTTTTAACACAATAATAAGTTCTCCATTATTGATTATAGTGAGAGATATCGAAAGTCACCTATAAATCTAAGAATATCATAAATAGTAGTATAATTTTCGATATTTTCCTTTGCGTATATATTTTTTGAGTATTAAGTATAATTTTGAAATTTTATTTTTGTATATTAAATATCAATCATCGTTAAATTTTTTTTTGAGTTGCTAAAAAAAGTTAATTGTTTTTTTATATATGGTATTGGTTACTTGCTGGATTACTTATATATATCTATTGATTATTGTTACTAGTCGATTAATCTAACTATCAGATTAGCCGATCTACTAGAGGACCCCTTCGTAGAGTTACAGAAGGCCGTATATGCGTAAGTAGCCGTTGTTCCCGTTGTTCGACTTTGTACGTTGAATATATAGAGTTGACCTCAATATTTAGTTTTATTTAAAGTAGGATGGTTCGCTACAATAATTATTTTAAAATTTTTGTACTAAGCTGTGTTAAAAACAATGGCATGGCAATGTCAATTTAAATTTACCAGTAACTAGGTGTTTTGCCCGCGCTTACTTCTTGATAACAATATAACTTACTTCTTCATAACAATATAATGCATAAGTTATTTATTTTCTAAAAATATAATATGATAAATTCCTTTTAATTATATTATAATTATATAAGATTATAGAAATGATGACATATAATTAAAATTTATTAAAATCATGGAAAACTTAACAAATCAGCAAATTCACATTTTAAATAATTTTTCTTGTGATGATTTATATTTAATTTATAATAGATTTTTTAAATTTTACTTTTAAATTATATAATATAAAATATATTTTCAAGATGACAACATAATATATA